GTGTTCGTTCATTTAAACCAAACCATTCACAAGAAAGTTGGGAAACAGGTGCTGTTACTAATGGATAACAAATTGCATTTAAAATATGACCTGCATGTAAAAATGGCATTGAAATTTCATGAAAATGTGGACTCGATGAATTACTAATAACTAATGGGATAATACGAAGTATTGTTGAAATAAAAGTAAGAATTGCAACTAACATTACACATTTTCGAAGTCCATTTTGTTTATTTAAAAGAATATAGACGAAAGGAAGACATGGAATAAATAGAATTGATTGCCAATTAAGAAGAAGATCAATTGTTGCTTCACTCATTTTATAATATTCTTCAGCATTTCTTGCTATTGGAGAAAATGTTAACCAGATTAAATTTTGATCGAATGACAGGAAAAAGAAAACAAAAAGAACATAAAATCTTTGTGAATACAATTTATATGTACATGATGCATCTGGTGGTGGTGATAGAAGAGGAACAGTTTCGCCGTCCGACATAACTTTGTTTATCAAAAACAATAGATGAAAACAAAAAACTCGTATAATGTCAACCTTTGAAATTTATGAAGGTGCGATGATGAGATAAGACACATGACGATAACGTTTCTGTCATGATAAACAAACGAAAATGAATATCTTGTTTTTTATATACATTCTATCAATGTATTTGCACTGAGGAGAGATTGACGTAATTCCGTACTTTCAGTATAGTTTCATATCAATTAGTGTCATTACCGTATAAAATAGGAACTTCTCGGCAAGATTTTCTTGGACGATTGTATAACCTAAGTATGATATTATTTTATCAATCATAGAAATTAAGCTAATCGAGACAATAAATAATAATATAAATGTCTATAACTTTATATTAATTATCTTCTAAACGAACTTTTATTTGTGTTTATTATGATTGATTAAAACGAAAACATTTACTGAAGAGAATAAATTTCTTCTTCAGTAATTCATCATTGTATAAAATTAAACTGAATTTATTCATAGATTTGTTCCATATGGATGATCGATAATTTCATGAAAAGTACTTTCACTAATCGACGAACTATAATGTGCAACATCATCATGAAAATATCAGTTTTTTCTCACATTGATTGAAAGAAACTGTGTAACACTATTTGATCGATATAGTAGATAACAAAGTCCGGGAATAGAATGAACAAGTAGATTATTAATTTATGCACGTATTTGATAAACAATTAATCAATATTGACGATACTCAGAGAAAATATTTTTATATTAGTATTTTACAATTAACACGTTGACTGTCCCCATACAAAAAAATGAGTACTTGTTCTACGTCCATTTTTTATTTTTTTCTTAATTTTCAAACATATTATTTTTGAAGTGTATTACGTTTATATACCACAAAAATAAGTTTTAAACATATCTTCGATGTCTTTTTACATGCAACACATATGATTCAATTGTCTCTCTTAGAATAATACTATAGAGAAAAACTTGCTAAAAAAAACAAAATTCGAATTATCCGGGGGGGGGGGGGGGGGGGTAATAAATATCATATACTGCGCGTGCATCATATATGATGCACGGGACGTCTCAGTCCAAAGTATCGTGCATCACATATGATACACCGGATAGTCAACGTGTTAAAAGTACTCATCTATTATGAAAGATTCTAATTGGTAGATTGACAATGAGAATATAAAATAATTAATTATTGAATATTTTCCTTAAATAAACAAATAACTGCATGATTATTATTTATTAAATTAAAAAAGAAAACAATTTAATTTGAATTTGAATTCGTTTGTTGTTGTTGTTCTTGAAATTGTTTAGCTGATAAATGAGTTGTAAAATTATCATAAATAAATGAATTAAATTTTGAATAATCAACAACATATTGATGTTGTAAAAAATGAATCATTCTTTCAAATCTCGCTCCCCAAACAATTTCATCCGGCATGTACGAAGTTCTAGCTTGTGTAACCATTCCAGTTGGTTCAATAATTCCTTCTAGAACAATTAATATTTCAAATTTTTCTTTTAAAATTTGTTCTTTATCAAAATCAAATAAAGGACTCTTATCATTTATTTTATGTTCAATAATAATTGGCCAATTAAAAAATAATCTATCTTTTCCTTCATCATACCCAACATTCATATCAATTAAATTTAAAGGAATTATTTCATTTTCTTTTGTTAGACGTTTTGAAACAAAATACATTCTTATATGAGCTTCAACTAGAGTTGATCGATATCTCATATCTCCTAAACGACATTGTAATGTTAAATAACCATCTCGAATTGTAATAAGAGCTTTGTCAGACCACATTAATGTTCGACGACGTTTTTTTGGACGAGATAATTTTGTATAAACAAGACCAACCCATAATGCTTGAATAATAAGACCAAAACAACTTTGAATTATTAAAAGAAATATTCCAGCTGTACAATTTTCAGTCACTGCACGTGTTCCATAACCAATTGTTTGTTGAGTTTCAATTGAATAAAGAATTAATCCACCAAATGTTTCCACACCATTAACACATCTATTAGTTGAATTGGAATTATTTGATGAAAAATCTCCATGAACAACCATTATAATATACCAAATTAAAGCAAAAAATACCCAAGATGTTACAAAACAAATAACAAATAATGTTAAGATCCATAACCATGTTAAATCTAATAATGAGGTAAATATATCTTGAAGATAACGACGATGATGTTCAATATTTAATCTATTCAACAAGTTTTCTTCTTTTTAAGAAATATTTCTTAAATAAAATAATTTTTACCTTTGAAAATTAATATTTCCATCTTTTGATATAAGACGTTTTCGACCTAAGGAATAAACAAAATATTACATATTCTTTATAGAAATATTTCAAATAACCTCTTAGTGCTTCTCTAGCGTGAAATCTAATTTAGAAAAAATAAAGAAATAAAATATAAAAAAAAATTTCTTTAAAATAATAAATACAAACGGATTAGGGAATGAAGTTATTTGTGAGATTATATCATTAAATCGTCTTGTTTTAAATGATGAAAATTTAACCATTAATTATTAGTTAGAATACAATTTCTCTCTTTCTTAAATAGAACAAAGAAATATAGAATTATCTAATGAATATCTTATTTTAATAATCAAATCATTATCAACCAAAAAGTACAAATAGAATGAAATTACATCTAAACTTTAACAATAATATCAATAATAAATTAGCAGTTTAATTCGATGTTAAGTTAAATGATAATTTATTTCATCTATACCTATATATTTACTGTATGAAGAATAATAATGTGTGAAAATAATAAAAGCATGAGATTTTAAATCAATATCAAGTAAACAGACTAAATGGAATGGAAATTTTATTCGTACATGAGTTATTAGTAAATATATAGGTATAGATGAAATAAATTATCATTTAACTTAACATTGAATTTTGTTATTGATATTGTTGTTAAAGTTTAGATGTAATTTCATTCTATTTGTACTTTTTGGTTGATAATGATTTGATTGTTAAACTAAGATATTCATTAGATGAATCGACATTTATTTCTTCTATTTAAAATTTGCATTAAATCTCATGTTTTCATTCATTCATTCTCTTTTTCTTTCTTTATTTGTTTATATATATATATTTATTTATCTATCTCTCTTTTCTTTTTCTTTTTATATCACATGATAAATAATTGATGTTAATAACTTTTTATAAAAGAACGCATGTTTAGATAGACATAATACTATTATATTGTCACACATGATTTATTCATTCATTCATCGATTTATATATAATTCGATATATGTGATCAATAGAAATATATTTATTTGTTTTTTTCGTATTTTAAATATTTCCTAATGAGTCATTAAATGAAAATAAGGTTAACAAGTCCATTAAATATATATTCGAAATTTATTTCAATAAATAACTTCTTTGTTTTTTAGTTTATTTATAGAAGTTTGGTTTTTACTAATCTTATTTCAATATTTATTTGGGTTTTTTTTTCTCAAAGACTATTTCTGTATAAAACGACATAAGATAATTATCTTTTTTCTTATAAATTGACAAAATAATCAATTTGTATTAGTCGAGTCTAATTTCTACTATTTTTCTATCGTTAACAAATAACAAAATCTTTTAAGAGATTTAACTTTTTCAATTTGATCTCGATAGGAGTTTGTAAACGATATATAGTTCAGTCGATATAACGAGCTATACTTCCCAATCGAGAAAAGTCTCAGATATATCGATTGTTTGCAAGTTTCTAGTTCAATAATATATCTTCATCATTTATTTTCAATGTTAAAAATTGAAGTCATTTCTATTTATTTGAAAAATTCTTTCATATGAAAGAAAATAATAAAATTTATATTATTATCATATTTTAATTAAATACTCATGTAATAGAACAATATCGATTTCGAATGGAAATTTCTTGAATTTTTTTATATAAAACCAAATGTATGATAAGATGCTTTTAGGTTATACCTTATATGACTAATATAATAATATAGACGAGTGACCTCTATTGTCAATCAATCAATCAATGGTTAAATGTTGAGTAGAATTATTATTCTATATGTACTCATAATTATAAGAAAAGTAAATGAGATAAATTGTGATATGTGACATATGATTTAATAAAATAAATTTTCTTTTCAACTTTCTTCTATGAGAAGATTTAACAGAAGTATAGAAGATAAATTGAAGCATATGTCTCATGACGAAATATAAATTATCTTATCTATTGTTTTTTTTAATCTATTATAAGTGTCCTTTGAAACTATTTTATTTTTCATTTTATTTTATTTTAGTGCATAGATACTCAATGTTGCCATTAATCTTTTTTTCATTATTAATTGGAATTAATGGAAATTCTTATGGATGTCCAAATAATGTAAATGTTTTCTTTTATATATATATATATATATTGAATTGAATTTTTTAAATTAGGTAACATGTTATGAAAAAGAAACATGTTGTCAAACAAATACTGGTTTAGTGGCATGTTGTCCAATAGAAAGTGCAGTTTGTTGTGATGATGGGATTCATTGTTGTGGAAAAGATCAAAAATGTTCACCAGATGGAAATTGTACTACACCAACAAATGAAATTTTTGTTTGTTTTATTATTAATTTGATCTTTTTCTATTTTTATTTATTAAATTTAGCCATCTCATCCATTACACATTCATCAAATTGAATTAACAGGAGTTACATGTCCAGGTTAATAATAATAATTAAGAATTAAAACAAAAAACGAAATCTTTCTTTTTTAGATCAAAGTGTCTGTCAGAATGGTAGTTCATGTTGTCAATTAGCGTCAGGTCACTATGGTTGTTGTCCAATTCGTATGTTTTCATTTATTTATTTATTAAATAAAAATTAATTCTTCGTTTTTTTTTAAGTTGATGCTGTATGTTGTAGTAAGTTATTAATTGAAAGAAAAAAAAGAGTGAAATTATTAAATAAAATTAGGTGATCATTTACATTGTTGTCCACATGGCTATACATGTGATGGTGAACATTCACGTTGCAAAAAGAAATTTGAATTAAATGATGTTCCATGTCCTGGTGGTAATAGATTATTCTTATTCTTATTCTATTTTATTTTATTAATTTAGGTTCATCTGCATGTCCCGATGGTTAGAAAATATTTTATTTCATTAAAATAAAAAAAACATGATTTTTTTGTTAAGGTGAGACATGTTGTAAACTAGGAACAGGAGATTATGGTTGTTGTCCATTAGGTAAATTCAATTTGTATTTATAAAATAAAATAAAATGAAATATTTTAGTTGATGCTGTATGTTGTAGTAAGTTACGAAATGAAATGAGAAGTCAATAAAATAAATATTTATAAAATCAGGTGATCATCTTCATTGTTGTCCACATGGATCGACATGTGATGTTGAAAAAGGTCAATGTGATCAAGATATATCAATTCCATGGTTTACCAAAACACCATCAATACGTCGAGAACATAGTTAGAAGAATTTGATTTTGTTTAAAAGAAAATATTTGAAATTTATTTCATTAGAATTGATAAAGATAAATAATAATGATAATGAAATAAATCAAATATCAAAATTAAATACTGATATTATTTGTCCAGATGCAACAAGTAAAATTAAATTTAATATTATTGAAATAATAATATTTTTCTCATTTAAAAAGGTTTATGTCCATCAACATCTACATGTTGTATAACAACTGCTTCAACATGGGGTTGTTGTCCAATTGAAAAAGCTGTATTTAGTTATTTTGTAATAAAACTAATTTTAATTTTATTCTTAAGGTTTGTTGTGCTGATCATATCCATTGTTGTCCAACACATTATAAATGTGATTTACATATATTTAAATGTGATCATCCATTTGGTTCAATTCCATTATTAAAAAAAGAAAAATCATTAAAGAAATTATCAGTTAAATTAATAGATTCAAACAGTCAATCATCTGTTTCAACAATTCAATGTCCTGGTTTGAAAGAAATCTTTTTTCGTTTCTTTTATTTTTATTAAATTAATTTCAGATGAAAAATCTCTTTGTCCCGAAGAAACAACATGTTGTCAATTAAACGATGGTTAAATTTTCTAAAAACTAATTTTTGTTAATAAAAACAAATTTTTGTTTAGGTTCATATGGATGTTGTCCATATCCTGATGCATCTTGTTGTTCCGATAAAGTATAGAATTAAAAATCTATTTTAAAATCAAAATCTTGAATTTAGATCCATTGTTGTGGAAATGGATATTCATGTGACATAACTGGAAAACGATGTACGAAAACTTTCGATTCATTAAATAAAACCGAATCAATGCCATTGGGATTAAAAATGAAATCATTTAAAAAAGATTTAAATATAAAATCATTTTTATCATTAAATCCACTTAAAGATCAAACATGTCCTGATGGAAAAACAACATGTTCACCAACAACAACATGTTGTCCAAATAAAGAAAATGATCAAGTTACTTATTCATGTTGTCCTTATTCAAAAGTAAAGAAAAAGTTTCTTGTTTTATATAAAATAATAAAAAATAAATTAAGGGTGTTTGTTGTGGTACAAATGGTTCGGTATGTTGTCCAAATGGTTATAGTTGTGATGAGAAACAACTTTCTTGTCAATTGGGTAATTCAAGATTTGCTCGAAGTCTTCGAGCTGAATCAGATTTTAGTCAATGTGGATCATCACAATTCGGTTGTTCATCAGCTCAAACTTGTTGTAGAACTTATGGATCACCTGATGGAGAATATGCTTGTTGTAATTTTCCTGATGTTTGTTCAAATTTCATTTAGTTTCTTATTTTTCTTTAATTTTCTTTTCTTTTCTCTTCTTCTAGGCTCAATGTTGTGAAGATGGTCAACATTGTTGTCCAAAAGGTTCAAGATGTGATACTCAATATGGTGGATGTATTCAAAATAATTAAATTTCTTCTTCATCATTAATTTATTTTTAAAAATAACGAATTATTATTTTTGATAATTTTCAATTAAAAGTCTTTCAATTTTCTATTCATAATATGAATATTTTTAAAAGAAATATATATTCAAAACAGATTTTATTATTAAATAAAATATATTTACCAAACAAAAAATTTACATCAATAAACAAATTTATTTTATTCTTATCATCCACATTAACAATTCTAGCCTTTTCAAATCATTATTTCATAGTCAATCGAACAGAGCATAGAGTCAGGGACGTCCGCAAGGGGGGGGGGAGATTGGGGGGATCGACCCCCTCCCAAGCTGAAATACCTGGAGGGGAGTACAGGTCGAGCATTTTTTCAGAAATTTGGAATAACCTTTTTCCATGATGAACTTTTCTGCATAGTCGTCAGTCCCCCCCCCCCAACAAAAAAAAATTCTGCGGACGTGCTTGCATAGGGTTCATTGAAAATTAATAAAAGAAATTCGAGACAAACAATTTAAAATAATATTTTCATAAAGTATTTATTTCCAGTGTTTTTCTATTGTATAGAATAAATCTGTTTGATCTTATTCGGTTGGTTTTAATATGCTCTTTTTCTCTCTCTGTTGAGAATGTGAGAGAGATAGAAATAGTATATAATTATTGTTAGTCTGTCATCAAAATGAATACTTTTAATTGAGTACATGATCATCTTTTGATATTTTGTTGAAAATTGAATCGCGCAAGACTGATAAAGTAGAAATTAAAATTCTATTTATATTTAAATTAATTAATGAGAATAGATATAGAATCGAGCATTTATTTTTTGAAGTAAATAAATTCAATTTTTGCAGGATTAGAAATAATGTATATCTAACAATATTTAATAGAAAATACGAGACAACAATTAGAATAAACACGTTCATTTTAAATCGTCAGAAATTTTAATTTAAACAACAGCAGGATCAAAATGACGTTTATATTCATTTGAAGTAGTAACATAATCAATAAATTTACTTTTTTGTACTCTAATTTAAACAAAAAGAATAAAAATATATAAAATTTAAATGAAATAACCTTCCAGTTCCATCATCAAGTTTATTCCAATGATGTTCCCATGTTGGTGCATTACTTGATTGAGATGAATTAGCAGGTGTCGTTTTATTCCAATTTGACCAACTAAATAAATAAATAAATAAAATTAAATAAAATTAAAAATGTGACTAACTTATTATATTTATTAAGACGACCAAATATTTGTTCAGCACGTTCACGTGTTATAAACTCTTAAAAAATAAAAAATAAAATAAAATCTAAATACGAATCAAATCTAACCAGGTGTTGTATCATATTGATCAATAAGATAATTGAATCGATCACGATGTGCAATACCATCAGCTGTTGTACCTCCATAATGAGTAAGCATTAAATAGATTTCAGCAAATTCTATCAAATAAAGAAATAAAGAAATGAAAATAAATAAATGACTGTACCTTCAAAAGTAAGTTTTCCTAAAATAAAAATAAAAGAATTTTTCGAAGAGAAAGATAAAGATAGAAAATATTTTACCTGATCCATCAAAATCATAGGTTTCAAAAACATGATCAGACATTTTATCTAAATCATGATCAGTAAGAAAAGGTGCAACATTATTTCCACTTTGAGAACTTTGATACATTTGTTTATATAAATGACGAAATTCTTTTTTTTCCATTTTATTATTTTCTCCAGTTACAGTTCGAAAATCTTTATAAATAGTTTCAACTGTTGATAATGGAACTCCTAGAATATTTTATTTCAATTAAATCAAAACATATGTATCTATTAGTCTTACCAGTCATATTACTAAATTGAACTAAATCCCATTCAGTAAATGGTTTTTTCGAACTACTTCCACCCATTTTTTCAAATTCAAGAGATAATAATGTTAGGTAAATGAGTATGTTACTGAGATCGTTTTTGTTAACCAATGATCGTTGTCTTTAACAGAAATGTTTTAGAAAGAATCTTCCCGAAGGAATAAGAGAAGAAGAATAGACGGATGTAGTTAGATGCTGACTAACGTTCTTCTTTCTTCTCTTTTTTTTCTTCTTTGGTTCATTTTGACGGAGAAAAATGTAACTGCAATTCTTTCCTTTTTTTTCTGCTTTATATTTAGAAAGAATTCTCCTAACAGAATAGATCAATAGAAACATCTAGGTCACTATCTTTTTTTCTTTCTTTCTTTTTTTTCCAAACAGGTTTATCTTTTTATGAGTTGTCATAGAAAACATTTTTTCAGCTAAATTTTTATTTTTAATTCTGACAAATCTTAACCATAAAATTTTTCTGTTTGATGGTTCTTTTTCTTTTATAATCATTTTATTTCTATAAGAATTAATAACTTCATATACGATTTTTACTTTTTAGTTTATTAAAAACTTATATTTTTATAAAAAAATTTATCAGAATAAAAGAAAAAATCACATTGATCTTGGCAAAATCTCTCAAATATCAATGAAAATATTCTACTAAAATAGAATTATGTTTATGATTAACCCTTTACGGCCGGCTACCAGAAGACAACAAGCAACAAGTTATCTTTCTATATATTCTTTGTTGTTTAGTTATAGGGATCAATCTTTCACTGCCGACTTTTTAAAAAATGCCTTACCCCCCTACGGCAAAATTGTTACCTTTTGGCAACATTCGACCGTTAAGGGTTAAATAAGTTTCATTAAATCCCTTATGAATATTCTATATATAAATATTCTGATGTTAGAAAAAAGGTATTTCTTTTTTCTTTCTCTAAAGGTAATTTCATCATTTGTTTCAGTTTCAATATATGTATATAATTTGAAGTAGATTTGACAGTGCGCTGTAGCATAAAGGTAATGCACATAAAAAAACTGATGATTTATAACATGACTATAACGTATGTTTCAACTTATGCAATGGTCCGAAAAATCATTGTTCTCCCCCATTAGGTATGGGATGGAGGTTCGAATCCTCCCAGCGCAAATATTTTTTTTTCTCGAAATATGAATCATATTATTGTACTTACGCAATTTAACTATTGCATCAGATTATTGACAAATATAGATATTCTTTTAAAATCTATATGTTTATGGAACTCATACTTGGTCATATAAAACTTTGAAATCTTCTTGAGCGTATTTTACGAGTGAATATTGATAAAAGATAGGATTTATTTTCACTCACCGACATATTCAAGATTAAGAAAATGAGAAATAATATTACAACTTATTTGTATTTTTATTATTTTAATATTAATATACAAACTGAAAATATCACGCGAATGATCTGTATTTCTTCATGTGTTTTAAAGACAAAAAAAATCGAGTTGAGAATAAATTCTATAAACTGATAGTAGGAATTGGTCTGTGCACTTGATTAGATATTGTATTTGAGTGATTTAAAGAGAATGTCTGTTTTCGAGATGCTAAATGTATTTTATGTTTTGGTACGAATGAACAATCTTTCAAATTCTTTCGTTTTTTCCATGCAAATAATAATAATGCGAGAATAATAATAACTCCAAATGTAGCAAATAATCCACCCATCGATCCAACTTCTATTGCCGTTGCTGTTCCACTTGTATCAGGACAAATTGATGTTTGAAACCATTTGACTTGCAAATTGCCTAATAAACCTGTTTCTCCCAATGATAAAATAGCAACATCTAATTGTTGTGTATATATCCAATTTTTTGGTAAAACTATCCCAAATATACCTGGATCAAAACCAGCTCCAACTAAACTTAAATTACAATAAACATTATTTGTAATATATTCACCAACACCAATATCTGTAAATGTAACATCAATAATCCCAGCTAATAAATCATCATATGATTGTTGTAAAGAATATAATGGATAATAATTTGGATTTCCATTAGATATTTCTGCTAAATAATATTCAACAGCAGCTGTACCAACACGAATACCAATACGATTTGGTGGAATTTTTCCATTTTTAAGATCATCTATTCCTGAAAGAATATCTTGTGTTTTTAATATTGTTAAATCCGATGCTAAATTAGCTGTATAAGATGCAACTAATACTAAACTTAATAAATATAAACCACCGGTTAATAAACGCCCAGGTGCTGTACTAACATGAAAATCTGCTCCATGTCCAATACAATTGCCAATACAATACCACATACTTAATGAAATTTGTGAAATAACTGGTCGATTTTGTAACATTTCATTATCATCACGTTCAACTATGAAAAATAAAATAGTTCCACAAATCCATGCACCTAAAAATGTTATCCATAAACTAAATGAAAATGGTTTTAAGAATGATAAAGGATCAGGAGCAGTTGTATATGTTTTTCGAGTCATAAGTTCTAAAGTATTATCAAATATTGAAACGGAAAAATCAACAATTTCTCTTCTTGCAGAAGTAACTGTAACATCACCAACAACTATATCATAAACACCATTTGCAACATCTTCAATTAATCCTGCATATGTTTGATTTGCTGGTGCTAATATAATATTAGGAATAAAATTTAATTGAGTTTGTAGAAGTGCAATTAAATCAATTGCATAACCACTTAATGACAAATTTGTTCCTCCAGATCCACCATTAACTATTGTAAATACTGGTGTTTCAATAATACCAATTCGTAAAGTTACACCATCGAGTAGAACTTGACCAGATGGTGGTGTTAAAGAATTTCCTGGCCAAACAACGAGATTTGCTCCTGAATATGTATTCCAACTTCCAGAATCTGAATATTGTAATACAGGATTAAAATTTATATTAGTTGCAGTTGCTTGAACATTTTCTACATAATAATATGTACCATTTAATCGATCAGTTGAAGTGGAACTAAATCCAATAGGACCAGAAACACCAATAAATTGTAATGAATTTATTGTATTTAATAATAAATTTGAATTAATAAAATAACGATCAAAACAAAATGAAGAACCATTAAATGTTGTACATGGAGAAGATATTGTTGAACATAATTGTTGTAATGATTGAATTAATGTCCATGTTGCATCAAAAGCAAATAATGCATATGGACTAACTTTCAACGATGCAGGAAATGTTTCAGGTTCATATTGTTTCCAAATATCATAAGCTGCATTTAATAGTGTTGAATTAATTGGTGCACCAACAACACTTCCTGTCACTGGTTCAACAGTTAACATTCCAATTAAATTTGGATAATGTATTCGATTAAAATTAGTTAATGAAATAGTTGTACTTAATATCCATGTAAATTTTGGACCAACAAAATTAGAATTTAAAGCACTTTGTAAAACTATCGATGTATAAATTTCCGTTGTCCATAATATAACAATTCGTGATGGACTATTTGTTAAAAGATTATTTAAATCACCTTGAATCTGAAGTGTTGCAATGTCGAATATAATTAATTTATTAACAGTTAAACCTTGATTAACAAAAGCTTGATTAATACCATTAGATCCATCAATTCCATATGGATCATTTTGATAAATAATTATACATGATGTCCAATTATATTGAACAAATAATTTAACAATAGCTGTTGCAGCTGAATTATCCGAAGGAACTGTACGATAAAATGTTAAATAATCATTTCGATCTGATAATTCTGGATCGGTAGCAGCATAAGATATAATAGGTATACCAACTGTATTACCAAAATTAGCTATTTGTTGAGCTTCTCGAGAAAATCCTGGACCAACAACTCCAACAATATTTGAACATGATAATGCTTGACATGTATCGCCAAGAGCATTCATAATAACTCCACCTGTTTGTTCCGATTGCCATCCGATATAATGACCATCAATTGTTATATTATATGATTGGGAAAGTAATACAGCTGCTTGAAACATTGCACGAGAATGAATTGATAAATCAGTTGTTTCTGTACTATTATCTGCATCGGGAAAAAGACCCAACAGTTTTATATTAGAAACATTTCCTGATGGCCACATCGCTGCGACATATTTTAAATGACGTTGTACAAATAAAAGATGTAATAGTAAACATCGAAAGTTGTACAGTGATATCATTAGCAATATTTGATCTCTATAAGAAATATTTCAAATATAATTAAATATTCACACATATATTTCAATGACACAACTCCAAAAAATAGACATTATATAAAAAAAGGTGTTAACTTAATACCTCTGAGATTAAAATGAGAAATACAAATTAATAATGTCTCTCACGATCTCTGTTCATCATCTGACAATATCTGTCATATTAATTAATTTTGATTTACATCTGTGAGGAGCTAGGAGTCAGTTCGAATTTCTATCTCAATCGTGATTTGTAAGAAGCTTTATAAAGTTTTTGTCGATGAGAGCTCATGCAGAATAGTGCCCCCATGTAGGTGGCTATTGTATTATCATATGATTTTAGTCTATTACCTTTCATTTTAATGGATTATTAATGGAAAATAATGCAAAAATCGCCTACATGGGGTAATAGTTATTACGATTCGAAAAGATTTACTGAAACTGAAATAATTCTCTCAATTGAATGAGAAGCGAGAAAATAAAAATAATAAACATCAATAGAAACAGGTGGGATATTTCGTTACTTAGATAATTGATAAGAAGATAAAATCAATTACAATCGATATTATTGATCATCTCGTTTGTCGAAGAATGAAATAGTTCAAGTAGATGTGAATGAAAAAAAACTATTATTGAGGAGAAAACATCTTCTACACATTTACTCATGACAACAATTATATTTGTTCCTGTTTGAAAATAAGTAGTTACTCGTTTTATGTATATACAAGAAAAAAAAGAAAATGTTCTTAACTAATGAAAAATAGAAAATACAATATTTATTCAGATGAAACACAAAAAGAAAAGAGTACGCTACATTGCATCAACATTTATTATCCAAGTTACTTAATCAACTAAAATACAACTAGGTTTCTACGTAGAACAACAAACCATACAAACACACAATCATTTGATTTTCTGAAAACACTGAGAGAGAGAGAGAAATGAATATATGGAAAACTAAAAAATAAACAAAAGTCCTTAAGTCATAAAAAATTCTAATAATTGAAAAACAACTAAGATTATCTATGAAAACCTAAAAATTCAAATAAGTCTACAGCCTAAATCATTACAAGTCAAATCTCGATAATAAAGTATTTTATCAGAATCATTTCAGACTATTAGTTCATTTACCCGAAGTCTTGTACTTGTTTAAAAGAACTTTTATTAATGAAGACCTTTCTTTTCTTTTCTTCAAATAAATGATGAATCTCATATATAAAAAAAAAGTATTTTTTCTTGTCTTGCTTGTCACAAAAAGATTTTTTTCTATTTACTGAATCTTGAATCGATATTAACTATGACGTTACTACAAAAAAAACAACTTCATTATTTATTACTAAGAAAAAGAAATTTCCTCTCGATCAATTTCAATTTTAATCAAACTAGTTAAGAATTAATCTTAAATTATTTTTTATTAATATCAAATCATTGATAAGCTTATATCAGGATTTTCTTTTACAATTACTTTTCTCATGTGCGAATTCTTTGTTTATACACAGATTCGGAAAAATGATAAATATATTTTTAATCGAATATTTTACAAGATCGAAAACTATATTAAATTCATTCATTATCAAGTAAATTGGGAATTCGAAATACGCTGCATAGAATTTATCGTTTAACAAAAACATAAAAACAATCTACTAAACTTAATTCTTTTGTTTGAAATATACTTTAAAATGATGTAGTTGTAATTTCATCGACACACTTTATGTTATTGATTAAAAAAAGATAAATGACTTTTTCTAGGGTTTTTCATTACAAAAAAACACATTAATAAAATAGGAGACAATCGTATGATACATTTTATTAATTTCCTAGAAATTCTATACTTAGCAAATGTAAATGACGTTCCCGGAAAGCACATGAACTTTTGCAAAGTACATAAATGTCAGGAAATGAATTTAGTTTTCCAATACAACAGTTTTCAAGATAGAAAAATACAGATATACACATCTTTCTAAATGAATGTATTATAGAAAATACACACGATGAAGGTATGAGCAAAATCGTTATTCATTGCATACTCAAAAAGATATTCATAGTATAGAAAATCGGCTTTATGTCTATTTTATAGAAACTCATAACACGCATTAAATAAAGAAAGCGATTAACTTTATAAGTGCAGTATTATAAAATTAATTAGAATTTCTCATACAAAATCATGTTGAATTCTATTATGATCCAGACAATTTCTAATCGTATTACTAAAAGTAAGAATAGCTTAAAAATAACTTGTAATTATCTCATTTAATTGATATTATTTTGATAAATTTCAAAATCTAATTCACTGTAAGATGTTTCGATGCAATATTGTATATTAAGTATATGAATTAGACTATTTCAATAGAACAGATGAAATCAATAATCCATAATTATCATCACAAATATGTATTTGGATAAACCATAAGTAGATATTGAGTACATCCATACAATTTTCTAATATCGAAATAATTTTTCAACAAATAAATAAATTGTCCTTATGAAGGTCATTGGAAATGAATGAACATATTCAGACTTAAAATCAGTTGATTAATCTTTTGATTGTTAGCGATACATATATTGTATCGAAATATATTTATTGAATATAAGTTTTTTTTTTCATCTTTTGTATATGTCAGTATATAATACATTTAGAATTATAAAATCTCAAATGACATATTTCGTTCTTCTTATCTCATTCTCCGATTGATATTATTAGAGAACTATTGAAAAGATCTTCTTCTCTGCACCATCTTCAATAAAAAATGTACTTTGTTCGTTCCATAATCTATTATGTTTTTTAACATAGAAATTGAATTCTATGTGAAAAATAAAAAAATTATATTTAAACATTACTTTCAAAACTTTAGTTTTCATTAAACAAAGAGTCGAGAGCCAAAGGGTTAAATTTTTATTTCAGAAGTATTTAAAAGGTAAGGTAGATTTTTTTTCTATTGATTTGATGAATTGAATAATCAGTATGATATTTTTAAATCTATTTTAAATTGAAAAGTGTTTGTCTTGACAATAAATTAAAAGAAAAAATAAAAACAAATGAGATAAAGAAATATTTCAAGAAATGATCAATAAACATTTGTAAAATAAGATACTACAGAATTTCCTAGATGACTTTTTTTTCTTCTTAATTTTATCAAAATATGTGATAAATCTGTTTCAAATAAATAGTTTATGTATAATTTGTATGTATCTATAGGCTTTTGACGAATAAGACGACGTTAACGTTTATTGTATGATTAATATTATTGAAAAAATTAAAGGTGAAGAATTTTTTCATTAGAAAAGAATACATGTTTATTAATTATTCAATTGAATATAAATTAAAAAATACGAAAAAAAACAAATGAATGATTTTTCTTTTCTTATGTCTATAGAATTTTATAAATAGAAAAAGAAGAAAAAAGAACGTTGACTTTTCAGTCGTTGTTAATGTTATTTGTCCGTTGTTGACGAGAATATTGTTGCACTCTAATAGTCATACCTTGTTCTTTTCTTTTCTTT